AAGTTCATCCCCCTTGGTGAAGACCCTCACAAAGGCGTGAAGATCGACACTGGACTCCCTGACCTGGTGAGGAAGCAACTCAAAGCATGCTTGAGGAAGAATGCTGACTTGTTCGCATGGAGTGTTGTAGAGATGCCCAGACTCAATCTTGAGGTCGCCTGTCACCAACTCGTCGTTGATCCAGCCGCTAGGGCAGTAGTGCAACGTAGGCGTAGGCAATCTCCTGAAAAAATAGAGGTTGCTGAAAAAGCTGTAAAAGACCTCCTAGAGGCAAATTTTATTTCTGAGGCCCTATATTCAACCTGACTCTCAAATGTTGTACTTGTCAAAAAGAATAATGGAAAATGGTGAATGTGTGTTGATTATACTGATCTTAATCGGGCATGTCCCAAAGATGCTTTTCCTTTACCTAACATTGATATGTTGGTTGACAACTCAGCCGGCTACAAACATTGCACCGCCTTCATGACCGGCTCAGGCAATTACTATTAGAACGTAATTCCCTTCGGCCTAAAAAATGCAGGGGCAACATACCAGCAGATGATGAAGAAAGCCTTCCGCAACGAGATCAGAGACATGCTCGAGGTATACATGGACAACATGATCATCAAATCTAGAACAGAAACCAACCATGTTGACCACCTCAAAAGAGTATTCGCCCAAGCAAGGCAATGCAAAATGAGATTCAATCCGGAGAAATGCACCTTCGAGGTCAAGGCGGGAAAATTCCTCGGTTTCTATCTAACTAAACGGGGAATTGAAGCCAACCGCGACAAAGGCCGAGCCTTCTCCGAGCTTCCCATGCCAAACTCAAAAAAATCTATACAAGTCCTAAACGAGATGCTCACCTTGCTTTCCCGTTTCGTGGCAAAGTCCGCGCAACACACACAACCATTTTTTAAACTTTTGCACAAAGAAGCGGCTTTCAAGTGGACCGAGGAGTGCGAATAAGCCCTCCTCCACCTCAAGCAAAGCCTTTCATAATCGCCAGTGTTATCACGGTTTGAGAACGGGGAAACGTTGTTCCTTTATCTGGCTGTCTCCACCAAGGCCGTAAGCGCGACCCTCGTTCGCGAGACATTAGACGAGCAGAAACTAATGTACTTTATGAGCAAACCATTACAAGGACCTGAGGTCAGGTATCAACAGATTAAAAAAGTAGTCTTAGCCCTCAGCAACGCGGCGAGGAGACTTAGATATTACTTCTTAGCCCACAAGGTCGTCGTACGAACAAACCAACCCGTGAGACAGCTCCTAGGTCGACCAGACATGGCCGATCGAATGCTGAAATGGTCTTTGGAGTTCTCGAATTTTATGTCCAGTACGAGAGCAGGAAAGCTCTGAAAGCCCAAGCATTGGCCGACTTCATCACAGAGATGACCACTCACGATTCCCCCGCAGAAGGGAAACATAAGTGGACCATCTTCGTGGACGGAGCTTCTAGCTCGACGGGGAGCAGAGCAGGAATCCTCCTAGAGAACAAAGAAGACGTCGTGATTGAACATTCCCTCACCCGCTCATTTCCCACATCGAACAACCAGGATGAATATGAGGCCCTTCTCGCAGGATTAAGGATGGCCAAGGATCTGGGTGCCCAAAAAATACAAATATTCACTGACTCCTAACTCTTTGCATCTCAAGTTCGAGGAGAATATCAGGCCAAAAATGATAGCCTCATTGAATATCTGAACCTTGTCAAAGAACGGATGAAAAAGTTTGACCGGGCAAAAATCAAACACGTATTCTGCGAACAAAACACGCAGGCCGACATACTTTTGAAACTCGCGAGCACAAAGAAGAAAGGTGGGAACAAATCCTTCATCCAAGAATCCCTTTATTGCTCGAGCATCGAAAAACCCATTGCACCACCCGAGGTGAATGCCATTGGGGACACATCGTGTTGGATGGCCCTGGTATTTAACTTTCTCACGAAGGGAAAATTACCCACCGACATGAAAGAGGCAAGTGCAACCAAACGACGAACCTGCTCTTACGTCGTGGTCGAGCACAAACTCTATCGGAGAGGATTCTCCATCCCACTCCTGAAATGCGTCGAGAAGGCCAAAATCCCCGAGATATTATGGGAAATCCACGAGGGAATTAACGCCCAACACTTGGGCGGAAGATCTCTGGCACGAAAGGCGCTGCGAGCAGGCTATTACTGACCCACCATGCAACTGGACACGAAGGAGCACGTCAAAAAGTGCGACAAATATCAAAGACATGCGGACATGCACCTCGCACCCCCACACGAACTCAAAACACTATCATCCCCATGGTCATTTGCTTGGTGGGGAACAGACATCCTCGGATCATTCGTAAAAGGATCATATCAAAATAAATTCCTGATCGTGGTCGTCGACTATTTCACGGAGTGGATAGAGGCCGAAGCCCTAGCCAGAATCACATCACACAATATCCTCCGTTTCTACAAACAAAATGTACTTGCCCGATTCGGCATACCACAAACGCTCGTCATTGACAACAGGACATTGTTCATCGATCAAAGTTTACAAGACTTCGTTGCCAAGCTCGACATCAAACAACATTCACCTCCGTCGAACACCCTCAAACGAACGGGCAAACTGAGGCCGCGAATAGAGTTATCTTGTGAGGACTCAAGCGCAGGCTGGGCGAAGTCAAAAGGGGATGGATCGAAGAGCTGCACAACATCATGTGGCCCTACTGAACAACACCACACTTGATGACCGATGAGACCCCATTTCGGATAACTTATGGCACCGAAGTTGTCATCTCCGTGAAAACTATGGAGCCATCTAGACGAACTGAGGTCCCTCTAGACGAGGAACTAAATGACGGGGCCCTAAGGGAAGAGCTCGACCTGATTAAGGAAATTCGATCACGAGCAGCTCTTTGCGAAGCCACCCTAAAACAGCAGATAGTCCTTCGTCATGATAGTAAAGTCATAAAACACGAATTCCAGGTCGGCAGCCTAGTCTTGCGAGAAACCAAAAAATTCCCGCGAAGGAAAGCTACTAAAACAGGAGAAGGGGTGTCATTGCTCGCATCAGCTGAAGTAGGAGATGGATTTGAATTACTAGATAATTCATAACCTGCAAAAGGAAAATGAAAAATATCCTCCAAGTAATCTTGAGAGTTGGTATAATAAGGAGTTGTTTCTACAAATTTAACATCTCTGGTAACAAATATTTTTTGGGAATCAGGATGATAGTATTTATATCCTTTCTTCGTTGATGAGTAACCTAAAAAAACACACTTAACAGCTCGTAGATCAAATTTATCACGAAAAGTATTTTGTATATGCACAAAACATGTGCACCCAAATACCTTCAAATGAGATAAATCAAAAGATTTTCTCTGCAAAACTTCCAGAGGAGATTTAAAAGATAATACTCAATTTGGTAACCGATTAATAATATAAACTGATGCCAATACCCCTTGAGACCAAAATAATTTTGGAAAATGCATTTGTATCATCAAGGAACGAGTTTTTTCCCCAATAAATCTATATTCTTGCGTTCAACTACCATGAGAATTTAAATATTGTGTCATAGTTTTTGACATGTACTCTATGCCATTATCGGAACGAAGAGTTTGAATTTTGCTAGAAAATTGATTTAGGACAAACATGTGAAAATCCTTAATAACATTCATGACTTCACTTTTGGATTTCAACAGGTACACCCAAGTAACACCAGAAAAATCATTAATAAATGTAATAAAATATTTAAAGCAATCAAAAGATTCAATGGTAGGGCCCCAGATATCGGAGTGTACAAGTTCAAACATTTTATTACTTTATAAATGAAGATGAAGCAAACGGCAGTCTAGTAGACTTTGAAAAATGACATGTATTAGATTTATTATCCAAATGAGGAAGTAAACTAGTAAGGACGTTATTTGATGGATGAGCTAGGCGTTGATGCCACAAACTATGGTCTGTCAAGGAGGATGAAAGGGTGGCAGCTTGTGGATTTTTGGTGCTTAGAAATTTGATGGATATATAGTAGAATCCTTGTAAGAAGAATCCTTCACCAATCGTCTTCTTGGTAACAAGGTCCTGAAAACGCACCACACGAGGAAGAAAAAGAGCACGGCATTTAAGTGCTTGAGTGAGTTTGCTAACCGAAAGCAAGTGAACAGGAAAAGAAGGAACATACAAGGCTATAGAATTTTCATTATCAGGAAATAACTTGAGTTTTCCCTTACCAATAACAGGAACATTATATCGATTGGCAACAGACACATGAGAAGGACTAGAATTTTTTTCAAAATCTACTAGATTAGTCAATTTATTTGTCATGTCAGTGCACCCGAATCAACAATCCAAAAATCATGCACAATACTAAATTTCAAGGCAGTAGAGAGTGCAGTTAACATACCTTCAGCTTGCTTACGAAGTCTGACGGTATCTACGGTGTGTGGACGGTACAACATTACGTGAATCAAACAACTAATAGACAGCTAGCACTAATTGATACAACATTAATTAGGAAATAAACCACATATCCTAAACATTAACGTGAAATAGGTAATTTTTCACTCCTCTTTTATTTTAAAAAAAATACATAATTATTATAATAATTTTTTATCATGAATAATTCAATAGCACATCAACGTGAAATAGAATCTGCTGCAGTTAAAAAATTGCCACATTCACAGTGTTAAAATATTTTAGACTGTTCTATCTTATTCGTACGGTGTTAAATTATTTGTTTTAAATCAAAACCATCCGATCTTGATTAAAGAGACAACTACAGGTAAATGTGTGATTTTTTTTTACTGCAGACAATTTAGGTTGAAACTTGAAACCACTGGTTTCAGATTAATTGACTTGTAGCGAGTAATTGATAGTAGTAATAACGTAAGAAACTGACGTGATTTGACTACATCCGTTTCGTGATTTCAACTTTCAACTACACGTGCGTAATTTCTTCCGTTACCGAATATTCCATCAGAAACAGATAAATACCCATTCTTCCTTTCACCATAATAATCATTTCAAAAGTAAATTCAAAATGGTCGTGTCTTCTCTTTTTCATCCTTCATTCTCCACCATTGTTTTCACCGCCGCTAAACCCATCCACAAAAACCACCGCTCAGTCACTATCTCCGCCGCCAACGACAACATCAAAGACAAAGCCCGCCGTCACCCCACCGCCGCCAACAACTTCACCGCCAAATACGTCCCATTCGGCGCCAGTTTCGATTCCGATGAATCCTACTCACTCGACGAAATCGTCTACCGTAGCAAATCCGGCGCTCTCCTCGACGTCCATCATGACGTGGAAGCACTCGCGAAGTTCGATGGCGCGTACTGGCGCAACCTCTTTGACTCGCGCGTCGGGAAAACCACGTGGCCTTATGGTTCTGGTGTATGGAGTAAAAAAGAATGGGTACTACCGGAGATTAACTCCGATGACATCGTTAGCACTTTCGAAGGTAACTCTAACCTCTTCTGGGCTGAACGTTTTGGCAAACAGTTTGAAGGCATGAACGATCTTTGGGTTAAGCATTGCGGTATTAGCCATACTGGAAGTTTCAAGGATCTCGGAATGACCGTTCTCGTCAGTCAGGTGAATCGTCTCCGGAAAATGAACCGTCCGCTCGTCGGAGTCGGTTGTGCCTCCACCGGTGATACCTCAGCTGCACTCTCAGCTTACTGTGCTGCAGCTGGAATCCCTTCCATCGTGTTTCTTCCGGCGAATAAAATCTCCACCGCGCAGTTGATTCAACCGGTTTCGAACGGTGCATTGGTTCTTAGTATTGATACTGATTTTGATGGATGCATGAAGCTTATTAGGGAAATAACTTGTGAATTGCCTATTTATTTGGCGAATTCACTTAATAGCTTGAGAATTGAAGGACAGAAGACTGCTGCTATTGAGATTCTGCAGCAGTTTGATTGGCAGGTGCCTGATTGGGTGATTGTTCCGGGTGGAAATTTGGGGAACATTTATGCATTTTACAAGGGTTTCAAAATGTGTAAAGATTTGGGTCTAGTTGATAAGATTCCGAGGCTTGTTTGTGCTCAAGCAGCGAATGCAAATCCTTTGTATTTGTATTATATAAATGGGTGGAAAGAATTTAAAGCGATTAAAGCTGAAACAACGTTTGCTTCGGCTATTCAGATTGGTGATCCGGTTTCGATTGATAGAGCTGTTTATGCGTTGAAGAATTCGGACGGGATTGTGGAGGAAGCTACTGAGGAGGAATTGATGGATGCAATGGCGCTCGCTGATTCGACTGGGATGTTTATATGTCCTCATACCGGTGTGGCTTTGACGGCTTTGAATAAGCTTAGGAAATCCGGGGTTATAGGATCTAGTGATAGGGTTGTGGTTGTTAGTACCGCGCATGGATTGAAATTTGCGGATAGTAAGATTGATTATCATTCTGGGAATATTCCTGGAATGGGTAGATTGAAGAACCCGCCTGTTAGTGTTAAGGCTGATTTTGGTTCTGTTATGGATGTGTTGAAGGATTTTCTGTTGAGTAAGACACCAAAGTAGTTGTAGTACGATGTTCGTTTGAAGTTGTTGTCGGTTATACTATACTGTTACACTCTAGTTATACTTCAGCGAGGTGCTGTTTGTTCTTTAATATGCTTATGATTTGATGATGACAAGTTTGTACATTTTTGTTTTGGAGGGTTTGATTTGATGAATCAACATTCTACTTTTGTGGAATTTCACTTTTTTTTTTTGTAATCACTTTGTTACTTTGAACACAAATAAATATTTACCGATTAATGTTTCCAGAAGATATTGAAACGATTCATATTAAAAACAAATTATGTTGTTAGTGTAGCTCAAGTTATGGTTAATTATGTTATTATGTTTCATTAATGGTTAATAATTTGCGTTAACCGCATATTTTCAGGGTGTGTTAACTATAATTTGTTGTAAAATTTAAAGTCAAATTTTTGTGTTTAAATGGATATCTATGGACAGATAATATGATATACCCCATTTGATAAATATCAAATATTCATATTTGTTAAATGGGTAATTCGTGAGTTTTAAGATATCCACAAATATTTATAGATAATATATTTTTTTAAATTATTATTTGGAAAAAAAAATTGTTCAATCTCCTTCTACCTTGATCGTTAGAAAGGCTGGTGTTAATCTCGCTCTCTGGTTTAAGTTGATTGAATAAGGGTAGTTGTTGCACCCCAAAATTCACCCTATTCATTTTAACTCTAATTGACTTATACTTCATCTTCATATGCATACATACATGCCATAGGGTCTATACTCATTGAATCAAGGTATTTCTCTGTGAGAAAGAGCTATAAAAGACAATTGTTCCGTTAAGCAGCATTGTGAAGCAGAACTCGAGATTTCCCACATTTAAATGCACACCGCATGTGTTCCAAGCTACTCAATCAACAATTAATCAAGCCATCATTATATCAAGCTCTCATGTGTTTTGACACGCTTTGAATTACAGAGAAAGTCAAGTGTTTCAGTTGATTTGAGATAGTTCAAGTCAAAAATCAGCATTTTGCAGTTCGAGGTTAAAATTCATAACTTGAGACCGAAAAATGTTTTGGGAATGGTTCTTCAGGCATTGGAACCGTCTTGAGATCTTCTCCAATTCATCTGTTCAGGGAAGACTAATTTTGTAAGGAAGATCCTCAAAAGCGCAAATACCTTAAATCATGTTATATAGTGGATTTATTGGTCAATTGTTTGTTCGGATGTTAAAAATTTTGTAACTTCTGATCAGGAAATCAATTTTGAATGGCTCTTGTAGCATTTGAACCGTCTTGTTATTTTCTTCAACTCTTATGTTCGGGTTGGAAGCTGATTCGGCGAGGAAGATCCCCGAATTTGCAAACTCTCGGACTGATACCATGAAATAGTGTGCTGATCCACTGTTTATCGAATATTCAAAAATTCATAACTTCTGACTGGAATTTTTTAATGGGTCTTTAGGCGTTGGATTTGTCTTGACATCCTCTCCATTTTATATGTTTGGATCGGAAGCCAATTCTGTGAAGAAGATATCTGAAGTTTCAAAAATACGGGGAAAATCGCATGCTAAAGCGGATTTCAGGTCAACTGTCGCGCAATATTGTAAAAATCACAACTTTCTCAATTTTCATCGTATCGAGACGATTCTTGTGGCACTGTGTCATAAATTGTGTTAGCTACAAGTTTGCTTCAGAGCTAAAGTTCGAATTGTGCTCAGAAGACTTCAGTTCATGGCTTGTTTCCAATGTTGAACACCGAAATAAGCTGAAAAATCTGCATAATCCAAAATAGAGTTTTCTGTCTCAATTTTCTCGCCGTTGCGAATTTCATAACTTTCTCAATTTTTATCGTATCGAGACGATTCTTTCGGCACTATGTCACAAATTTCGTCATCGATGTTTTTGTTTCAGGTTTCGTATCGACATTATGCATCGAAATTGATGAGCTTCTGGATTATTCTCGCACCGTACACCGGAGAAAGTTGAAAATTCTGCAGTATTCACAAAAAATAAGGGAATTTTAATTTTTTATTATTTTCCAAACATGACTTTAGCTCACTTATATAAATTGTTTCAATTCAATTTCATAATCACTTTTTGCCATTTCTCAAAAAAATCACTCAAAATTCAAATTCTCTCAAAGTTTCTTTCTTCTCTCAAATATGCAAAAGCCACAAAATCTCAAGATCTTAATCTCTTCCTCCCTTAACCGACAAGCTTTACCGGACACATCATCTCCGGCCACTCCGTTCGACCACCCCCAGCCTGGTCTGTCGCCAAATCCAGCTTGGACTCCCCCCGCCTAGCGAACATCTCCCGACCGAAACCCCTCCATCTTGGATCTGACTCCGGTCTCTCTTCTTCGCGCCCTCACCACGCGGCCGATACTCCTTCTGTTAGCTCTTCTGATCGGATCTTCTTCTTCTGATTAATTCTTTGCTTCGAGTTCATTAAATTCCTCATCTCTTAATTTTATTGCTTTGCTTTGATTTCAATTGTTTGAATTAAGTTGAATTATGTGAATCTTGTATGAGTTAGTTGTTGAATTAATTTGAATTTGTGTTCTTTAACATAGTTTGGATCTTTATTTTGAGATAAGTGATTGTTTAAGCTAAGCTTAAATTGATTTTTAAGATTTAATTAATTCTTGAAGCTTGATGATAAATAAATGCGGAATCGGTTGATTTATTTGTTATTGATTGTTGAGATCTACGCGTCAAAATTATTTGTTCATGTATGTTGTGATTTATGCGTCGTAATTTCTTTATGATTTGATACTTGTTAAAATTTGTTTAAATTCATGAATTAGAATCAAATTTTGAAGTGTTCACTTGTTTTCGACGCGTAATTAATTTTGGTTTCAATACTTGGAAGTGTTGGTACCGGTACCAGTTTGTTGGATACAATTAACTTGTGAATTTCGCTTGATTGCTCATGTGTCGATGCTAGGTTTTTGTGCCTTAAAACGTCGATTTCAAATCAACTTTTAGCAAGCTTCGACACTTGAACCATAGCTTCCCGGAGTTCACAAATGTGTTGTAAATTGAGTTTTAATTGTTGCTCGATGCATAAGTGGCTTTGTGTTGATAGTTGCTAGATACCGATATCAATTTTGTTCGATTTTAAAGCAACTTGCATTTCATTTGTTAATGCAATACTGTTTAGAAAATGGTTTTTGCATCTACGTTGTGATTTAATTCATAATTAATGCATACTTGAGCTTGTTAGCATATTTGGTTGATACCGGTATTAAATTCGGTTGTTTTTAAGCTGACTTCTCGAGCATTTCGTATGATGCAAAGTTGCTGCCTGGAGATGGTAAGTGGTGCTTAGTTGGTGATTTAGTTCCAACTTAATGCATGTTTGAGCTTGTTAGCATGTTTGGTGGTTATCGGTATTGAGTTTGATTGATTTTATTCCAAATTTTTATGCATTCTCATGTGTTTTAGCTCCTAAATTTGACACCTACACATGTTGGTCCTACTGGCTAAGAAAAGGTTGAAGAAATCTAAAGTTAAAGACGCTTCAATAGAAGAGTTCGTGATGTTAGTTGTGTCGAAGCTATGCTAAGAAGAGAAGAAATACTTAGATAAATTTTCTAAGTTAAAAGGGGTGTTCGACCAAGAAGCCTTTTCCCTTCGACCAGGAAACTTCGTATCAGTAACAAGTGATTTTGAATCTGAAGAAAGGAGGCAAAAGCAGTTCACCTGACAGTTGAAGAAAGCAACGTGGCATAAGGACATAAGTCGAAGTGCACGCAGAGGACACTTGTCCTCATCTTAGAGCGACGCAACTCCTCGATGATTACCTAGTTCTAGTATAAATATAGGGATTTTGTAGATTTCTGTGTGTTCAACTAATTGTACAAGTCACTCAATATTATTCGAGTACCCACTGCGTGAGAAAGAATACTGAGAATGTACGTTTGAAACACCAGATTTTATAATCAAAGTCTTTTACATTCCTTTTTACATTCCTTGCCATTCTTACTTATAACCTTTTATCTTACTCGCAAAGTTTATTTTCCCTTGCATTTTACTTTCACTTTTTACCAGATTTATGCACTTAAACTTATCTCAAACCTCTACCTTTCTCAGTCGAATGTGTTCTTTATTAAAATTAGCATTTTTATCAAAACAACACAAATATTTAGCATATGTCCTAGGATCAAACTGATCGATCCTGCAAGTAACCAAAAATTACCCTTTTTGGAAGATCAGCGGTTGTTTACCAATTTTCATGGTAAACAAATTGGCACACCCAGTGGGACCTTATTAATTTTTGTTTGCTTGTTTATATTAACATAAATGCTTTACATAATTTATTTTCTTTTACAAAGTGTTGTATGTTATTAAGAAGTGGTAAATTAACCACCAACGAGTGTACAACTAGATGAAGAAATAGTGAAATGGCTAATCATCCAAATATTGGAGAAATACCTCCATCAATTACTGCGGAAACATCGGTTATACCAACCGTTAGTGAAACTATCCCATCAACCGTTGGTTCGACACCAATGTTGACAGTAACACAAACGGGACTAATACTTTCGTATGTAGGTCCAAGAGGTCCATTAGGAACACCCCCACCAAGGGTAAATCCAGGATCTCGACCCTATGTTCCCCCAGGATTTTCAACAGCCTGGATAGATCGAGACCAGCCTTATGGCATGCCAACTACTGAAATGGCTAGTCTTATGAACGCTGCATCCATATTTTCAGAACCTTTGGTGAGTGCATCTTTGCCATTACAGGGATCTGGAACCGGTATGGCGAATTTGGGTAGAAACCAACTCTTAGGAGGGGTATCCCATGCAATACCAAGCCTCACAAATGCTTCTACGACAATTTTGAGGCAACAAATGGACGAAAGTAACCATGATATGGTACAAATGTTGGCACAGACTTTGAGTACAATGCTGAACCTTCTAATACAAAATATCACCCAATCGAATCAGCAAATGACAGCTCAAATGACACGCATGACTGAATTTTTTGGGGTTCCCCAACCTATTAGACAACCCCAAAGAGC